CCTCCTAAGAAACGAAAGGTGTCATTTTTTCTTGGGAGAGGCAGACATTACTGATAAGCTACTGAGCGTGTCTGAGTTCTCTGAAGCTCCTACAGGTCTAAGGAGCTTTGGTCCTGGAAGATATTCTGACATTTGGGTTTTAATTCTCTTCTTCTTTGGGAATCTTACTGTTAAAATGACGTTGCATGAAAATGTGCATCTTTTTCCGTATGATCTTCTATGAATTTCTGATCTGCACTTCCTCTTTATTATGACTTTAAGTTATTTGTTTACTATGTACAATGTAGTCTATTAGTGGAAGTCATAACGCTGGGGTTTGGACTGTATGTAGCAATATGTGTTGCTAATTTATATGCCTCAGATGCTGATAAAAATAAAGATGAAAAGTAGTATTTCATTCCTCGGGGAAAACAGATCAGGCTGTGTTGATGGAAGACTGCCCTAGATTCATGAACGAAGTATTGACTCATTAGTAGGATGATTCAGAAAATGTTTTCTTTCTTTTCCCCCCTGAGTTAGGTGGTGTGCGTGTTTGCAATGTCAGAATATTTGCAAACAAAATACAGATTATCGCTTTCCTAGGATGAAATTATTTGTGCTGTTTGAAATTTGTTATTTTTCACACTCGGTGAAGAGTAATTGGCACATAGGCAATTCTGACAAGAGAGAAAATGCAGAGAGGCACTAGGCTTCATCAAGGAAAAAAAAAAATACATAGGCCAGCCAAAGGAACAGATTTCCACTGTAGATCCTTCCCTGCAAGAGCAGGTGGGGCAGTAGTGTCTGACGTGTCCCAGTACCTGACAAGACTCCAACTTATTTGCAGCAGCCAGCAAGCCAGTGAAGCGATTTACTTGTTATATGACCCATCGCCCTTAATGAATGCAATGTAATGAACTGTTTAACATTTGTGAGAAAATATTTTTAGAAAGAGAAGAACTTGGTCAAAGCTAACTCCCTCCCATGAATTCAGGAAATTATTTCATGTATTATTTAAACACTCTGGCAATTTGCTTTGACTAGTTCTGGCAGCGATCTATTGAGGAAGACAGGTGCCTTGTCATTCTTATCAGAAAGTACCTCTAAATATCTGTCAGACTATTTATTTACAGCGGCTGTCTATTTTTCAGGCTTCTATAAGAGGCTGAAGTTCAGTAAGAAGTATTTGATTAAGCAATATAATTTATATACATGAATATAATTGTGTATACTGTGGCATGCTTTTTTTCGGCCTAATGAGTTAAACTCCAGCCCTATATTTATTTGCAACGTTTGCAAAGTGATTTTTTTTTTTTTAATTAAATGTACTCTGTGTGTTTGTATTTTCATATGCTGTTAAATTATTTACTGTGGAGCATACTAAGGCTTTTGGTTATATAAACAGTTATAGATGTGTATACATACACTCAAAGTGTGTAAAAAACAAACAAAAAACACCACTGCAACTGTAAATTAAAGGATTATGAAAGGTGGTGGTTTTCATTTTAGAAATGTCTACTATATGTAGATAGTTTTTAATCTTTTTTGTGTGGTTTTTTTGTTTGTTTGTTTGGTGGTTGTTTTACAGTTAAAGAATCTGAGTTTAGAAGAATTACAGATGCGATTAAAGGCTTTGGACCCTATGATGGAACGAGAAATTGAGGAGCTTCGTCAGAGGTACACCGCAAAGAGGCAACCTATCCTAGATGCAATGGATGCAAAGAAACGGAGGCAACAAAATTTCTGAGTTTGTTTTACTTTCAGATAATACTATAAGTCAGTGTGGACACTGGTAACTTTGTAAGTCTGAAGGAATTCGATTATGAGAGTTTTCGAAAACCCAATCTTTTGAATTCTCCTTCACAAGCAATGACAATTGGAGCAGTGAAAGAACATACCTATGCTGTTCTGCAAAGGCAGCGAAACACATTACCACTTGTTTATATTTTCCAATGTTTAATGTAATAGCAGTTTAATCTGTTACTTCCCAGTCTCTTTCAGGTGTATAGTGGTAACTTGGTGTTGTACACTAGGAGTTGTGTTTTGGAGCACCTGGAATGATTTCTTGATTGTGCAACACTACAGAGCCTTATGTTGCAATATATTTTCCTCCCACTTAGTAGCATATTTATTATGTAATCTTTGGTAATCCTATTTATTTTATGCCTGTTTTCTTTTTTATTAGGAAGTACTAGGATAATATTGTGGAGAGCAGAGCCAGATTAGATAAAATTGGTATTGTAGTGTAACGAAAAGAAGCTCACCACTGTATTATCTTTTCAAACTCCAATTTCAGCAGGCATCCCAATTCAGGGCAGCACTTGAACATGGATCCAGCCCATTCATATCAGTAGGATTTAAGCATACAATAAGTAATAGGCACATGTTTTTCTGCTGTCCTGAACCAGGGACTGTGGCTGTAGTTGAGCAATAAAGTTGTTACGCTACGCTACAGAGCATTCTTTTAGAGAGTATTTCTATCATTTTTACACACACTGAATTATCTCTCATTAAACAAGAAAACAAGTGCCTAATCAGTTTTGATTTTTCTGTTATTCAGGAGAAGCAATACTTGCAGTCACTCCTTCAGTGTAAATTTCCAATTGCTATAGAGGTATAAACCTCTATTTTTGCACCGTAGTTTTATAATGAAGTAACAGCTACACTTTCTAGATATGTTTTTTGTTTCATTTAATTTTTTATCACCGTTTTGAGGGGAGAGGGGAGTTATTAGTGGTTTGGGTTTGGTTTGATTTGGTTTCACATTATAGATACGAAGGGATAGTAATTTAAAAGCCAAAGAAAATCAATTGAATACTTACATATAATAAGTACTGAAAAGAAGCAACGTTTTGCAGTCCTCTGAGGGTTTTGTCCTGCAATTGCTAAACATTCAAAATTCCTGTGGTCTTCCGTGGTAGATTTTGGGGGAATCAGAAATGCAGGACCAAGCTCTTAATATCTTTTTACAAGTTGTTCTGTCTGGTTTATATTGTGGGATATCTAGTAGGTAGAATTTACAACATTGCAAGAAATATTTCAGACTTAGCAGAAAATGTGATCCACTTTTTGAACAATCTACTGTGTTCTCTGTTGATATCTTTACTATTGTTGCCTTTTGTGTAAATAACTTTACTGTGATAGTCATACTTCTTTAAACAATACAGCTGAAAAGATCTTTACATTCAACCTTCAGCTGTTAAACTTTTAATGGTGACTACTGTATGGGCATCTTCTGTTAAATGTTTTCTGGAAGTTAGTAATCATCTCATACCTCTTAACATTTACCGTCATCATATGTGGACCATTTAGATGGAACAGTGCAGATTTTGGAAATGGTGCATTATATCATAAAGCTTATGCAGAAGGAAAACAAAAGTTTTTACAAGATCAGCGTACTTCAGCCGTGCTGGGACCAGTACTTGGGTTTGAGCTGTACACAGCCATTGTTGTCGTTGTCATTCTGTGTGTGTGTGTGTTTGCGTGCACGGCACGCTCTAACATGTAAACCCTAGAATCAAATAAATTTTAATTGTGATTGTTAGAACAACCTTACCCTCAACTCTTTTCATATTTCTTAAAGTAATGACCATCCCTTATGAAAAAAGAAGAACACAGGACATCCATAAAAATAACTTCAGGCAAAATAAATGCACCTGGTAGTCTTATGCCTCAAATTTATACAATGAAATGATGTAAAGTAAAAAATGGTATAATCATATCACCGTGTCATTAGATTATAATCATAATGCAGCAAAAAATAACAGCACCAACCTCCCCCTATTAATATGTTTCTTATTTATTTAAAATTAATTTCTACTTCTTGAACTTTCTGTTCTCAAAAACTCAAAGGTGTGTATGCGTACATATATTTGTGTAGGTATACACACATATATATGCATATCTATATATATAAGAAAAAATATAAAACAGATTTAAACCATCAGGAGAGGAACCTAGCTTGCCTTTTCTTGGTGTGCCTTTTAAGCAAAGTGTCGTTGTCCAGACACTCTTGCTTGCATCATTAGCAGCTTTCTTTTCCCTTACTCTCTTAAACTTTTCCCATCAAAAATAAGACTTTGATTTTGAATAATGTGGCTTTACAGTGTAATAGACAAGGTAATAAAATGATCACAATTTTCGTATTTTGTGTATTCTGAAAATGTGAGTAATGCAGTGCAGTAAATATGAATTGTCTATCCAGAGGGACTCCAGTAAAAGGCCGTTTTAAACTAGAGCTGTTGCAGTCTGACATCTGAAAGGTATCGGAAGATAAAGGACATCCTTTCTTCACTCCTGATCTGTCGGCATAGAAACAACTCAAATAAATTTTGTGCACATGCATGCACACAGGTATGGATTATACATGCGGGAGAAAAATCTGAAAGCCATGGAATAAAACAAAAATGTAAACAAGCTACTTAAAATGCATGAAAAATAGCGTCTGAGATACTGTAAACCGGGTAGATACACGATGTTTGTGACCAAAGAATACTTCCACCAATTAATATGAAATTAGTAATGTTGCCCTTCCGATACGGTGCACGCTGCAGTCGGTGTAAGAGCTGTCTTTGGCTTCAGAAGCCAGTGTATCAGGCTCTAAATTATGTGCAAGTGTAACGTATAGAAATAGGTTTTATATTGGGTGATGGATACAACTTATTTTTTCTTTCTTCTGTTTATATAAATGAATCAGATCATCCATGTTGATGACTACACATCTCTACTGGAGGATGAGCATCTCTGTAGAGGAAAGCTGATAGTACAATAAATAAGACATTTTAAAAGCAGGCCTTGCAAGAAATCTGATAGAACTACTGACAAGTTAACCTTCAGTAAGATTTTAACCAAGCAATTTCTTGTTTGCTTCTGACTTTGTATGTTTAGGTTTAGTAAGTAAAAAAAAATTTGAAAAATCATTACTTATTACTAAACATTTGTAATAAAAGCTAATTTTTCATGTATAATTGTCGTCTTGTTGTTCATTCTAACTGAAGCTGAATTATGTTAATAGTAACCATTAATGTTCATTTCCATAGCCATCCCTCATGCTTTTATTTCCTTTCTATAATTCTGTGAGCCCAGCTGCGAGTGCAGAAAACCACATCACTCAAAGTCAGCTCTGGAAAGGAGTTTTCCGGCTCAAGACATTGCTGCAAGCTCTAGAAGTCTGAGGATCTAAGTGGAAGAGTATCAGGCCAGTCTAAGGACAGAAATTCTCAATTCTTTGTGGAAGTCCCTCTCTCTGCGATCTAAGGTTGCTAAAGGCCTAATCCTGAGAGAGCTGAGCACCACTCCAATACGTTGGCAGTCTTCATAGGCATCCTTTACTTGGAGGTACTAGGGGACGTTAGCAGCTGTAGGTGCTCCTTTGATTCTAGTGTAATGGGAACAACAACAGGTAATGGATAGGCTTAACTAGGAAAAGCAAATACATTTAATGTCTCAAATTTGATTCCATAGCCCGTTTCTTTTCTGATTTTTAAAAAAATTATTCTCTAAGAATTTGCCCACAGAGGCACTTTAGGAAAAGGGACTTAGGAACAAAACTCCTTAGTGAAACACAGTATGTTTGAAATATTGGATATTATAATTATTTACTGTTTGTTTACAGTAAATAATAGCTTACCTGTATTTGCCCAGGTATAGTCAGGTGAGAGCACACCGTGGCTCAGGCTGCTTCTCCGTCCAGTGTGTTGAACTTCCAAATATAAATACGGCTCATGATGACTGAATCGTGCCATCTCATGTGGCATGCCGAGCACACGAGAGCGCCTTAGTCGCCGTTGATAAGCCCTGGTGCTTCCAAGCAGAATGTATACTGTGCAACTTCTGTAAAGCACTTTGCGTGCATGCTGTTTTATCAATGTGATATGATGAGGGTTACATTTTCTTTTTAAGTGTCTACGTGGTTATAAAACTAATTAAAAAGACCTTATGACGTGAGGAAGTCTTTATTTCTTTGCATTCATAAATATTAAGGGCTCCAGCTTAGTGTGGCATTTCTTTCTGTACTTCCAAAGGCGATGATGGATGTTCTATAATATACAGCTGGCTGGGAAATTGGCTTTGGGATATTTCTGTACCAGGCTGTGGTGCAGCAGTGTTATGTCCACTATTGCTGATGAAAGCCTTGGAGAAGACAAGTCCTGAGTAGCGCATGGTGTTTCTCACCACTGTGTTGTGCCAGGTGAAGCAATGGCTTAATCTTTTTGGGGAAAGGCAAAATTACATTGATGGTTCAGTGTGAAGTCACTAAGTTGCACTTGGGGACTTGCCCTGTTAAGTTTGTTTTAAAATACCTATTCACAAAATGTATTTCTCCTCTCTGTTTAGGGTATCCATTATGGAAAGGGACGACCATTTACACGGTGTGCTCTCATCCTTTTTTTGTTGTTGTTGTTTTGTTTTAATTTGTTAGGGTTTTTTAAGAATACTTGACAATTCCCCATATTTTGCTTCTTCCCCCTGCTGAGGAAGATGAATGTGGGCATTACTTTTAAGAGCATCCCCTGACCCAAGCGTTCTTGGGACATTGTGCACAAATGCAAATGTCAGCAACAGCTTTTATTCTCTTCTTCTATTCGGAGATGACTGAAGTAAAATCTCGGCTGTCCTGTTTTCCCTTCATTTGAAAATACGGGATGTTCAGATTCTAACCAAATCTTTCTCTTTCAGAACATTGTTAGTCCCGGACAGCCTAGTTACTAGGTACTTTTTTCTATTGCTTGCTTCACAAATTCCTCAGGATGGATTCATGCTTAGTTTCACAAGGCCTTAGAGAGTCTTCTAGGTTAGAGAAGAGCTATATTTGTCACAGAAACAGGAAGAAAGAAATAATTTTAAAAAAATTTCTTTGAGGAGGAAAGAAAAAGCGTATGGCATTTGCACCTGGCCAGGTCGCTTATGAGGCTAACTGTGGGTGTGAGGAAAAAAAGTGTTGGATGACAAAAGCAAATCGGGTAGTCATCTATGTAACTTACTGTTCTACGTCGCTGTTCCACAACTGATTTTCTTCCGTTCATGTTTATTGTCTTTTATGTTTGTGCTTTATTTATTCAGTTGCCACTTTTAAAGATAGAAGTTTTAATTTTTTAAAATTTTATAAATGGAAACATGCCATAACAGTGCCAAGCAAATAAACACGGGGAAAAAAAAACCCAGTCAAAGTCACTGAAAGGGTGGTGTTTTGTCCTCCTTTCCTCCCCCACTCCTTTCTGGGGTCATGGCGGGTTTTGACTGCAGATGATGTTTGTCTCTGCATGGAGAGGCTTTCCATGCTCTAACCCTGGGCAGGTATGGGTGGAGGTGGTTTTATCAAGAGGGCTGAATGAGCTGTACGCCTACTCAGGATGTCGTATAAGTGTTGTGCCCTGCTGGGAACCACTGTCCCCCTCCTGTCCTCCCCCTCCTCCTCTCCCTCCCCTGCTGTAGTGGAGGCACTGAGGCTCCTGCAAAGTGTGAGGAAGCAACACGAAGCAGTGGGTACCGCTTTGCCACCGAGAGACTTAGCATGAATCTGGAAGCTGTTGATCAGCATCAGGGTAGCACTGTGCTCAAACCAATGCCTGTGGTCTAGGAAGCCTTGCGAGAGCCAGCTCCTTCCTCAGGGACAAGGCCAGGCTGCGGTGGCAAATGGCTTTTGATGCAACTTTGCTTTGTTGGCAGGCCTGCAGGATGGCCATAGCCCCCGATGCAGATGCAGGCATGCCCACACCAAGGTATCTGAAAACCGCATTTAACCCTTGGAAAGGAAAAAGTTCCTTGTGTCCATTTTTATATTGATGTACAAAACATGTTTAGTGGCCCGTAGGACATTATCTCAGTGCGGTGGAAGAGCGCGTGATGGCATCAGCTAACGATTGCTCCGTGCCCTACGCCAAGACATTTCTTAGTCCAGTAGCGCTATCCCTCGGCCTCCCAGGTTCTTACTGCAGGCACTGGGTTTAGCTTTGCTAGAAGTGATTGGTGGGAGCAGGAAGTTTTCATGTGCTGTAGGCAAACAGCCAGAGTTCTTGCCTGGTGCTGGTACTTGCCCAGTGCAAACAGGCCTTTCTAAAGGCCACAGAAAATTCAGAGGGGATGAACTGGGCAGTAAGCAGGGAGCTGCCTGGAGCCAGCCAGCAGGAAAGCGTTGCAAAGAATTAAAGTAATCTGATTCTGGGCTCAAATGCTGGTTTTCTCTCTGTCACAATGGGGGAAAACGTTAACGGTATTTGCTCGCGCACTGCAAACCGCAGCGACCTTCAAAATTTGTTTCTTTAGGTGTCACAACTCCAGAAATCGAATTTGTAAATTTACACGGCCACATGCTAATGTATCTGGATATATTTTTCTCTGTCAAATTAACGAAACGGA